AGTCCCAGAGGGGCCACCTAAGAGATGGCAGGAATGACAAAGAGGGAGCCATAGGGCTGAAAATGCTTCCTCCCCACTATGAGTGCCATACTCATGGCAGTCTGGTGGCCACTACCCAGGTAGAAGACTTCCACTTTCTGGCATTCAGTAGTCCCCAGAGACATGTCTTGTTCCTGCCTGATCACCCTAAAGTGCCAGGGCAATAAGTCCTACAGTCACAGGGCTCCCAATCAGCTTTTTAAAAAATGATTTCACTCTTAAACATGGACAACCAAGGATCACCAAACATTTAAGGAAACTGCCAATGTACAAGTGACAGACCAAGAGAAAAGATGACCCAGAGTAACAGAGGTAATTAGAGAACCAAAAGGTATCTTAAAGAAAAACTCTAATCAACTTCAGAGATTAAGGGATGAAGATATCCAACAATATATATCACATCCAAAAAACAAGAACAGGATGCTATGAAAAAAGAGTTAGAGAAGGAAAGATTTTGGCAAATAGAATTGAAAAATAAAACAGAGGATGTTCCCAGAAAGTGGAACCAAAATATCAAGATAATGTGAGAGAAAAGGATCAATAGGAGGTCTGATTTCCAATTCTAGAAAGGGGATCCAGAAAGAATAGAGAACATGGAGAAGAGGGAAAGAAAAATCAAAATTTCCCTGAGCTGAAGGATGTCATTGGCTTAAAAGGGTTTGCTGAATGCTCAGCATCACAGATGTCAAAAGATCATTGCTATGAAAGTGCATTACGCTAGGAACAAAGAATTCTTAAATGCTTCTAAAGTGGAAAAACCAGTCACCTACAAGGGGAAAAAAATCATACTGGCAGCAGAGTTAACAATGATAGTGGCCTTAAAAATTCTGAGGAAAGTGGTTTTTTACCTAGAATTTTATATCCAGCCAAACTATCATTAAAGACATGGAAAGACTAAGAAAATTTACTTTCTTTTTTTTTTAGGAAGTTAATTGAGGATGTGCTGAAGCAAACTGAAAGCATAAAACAAGAGTGCCGTGAAGGAAATAGTGTGTCCACCCCAGGAAAGCAGCTAAGTCCTGGAGGTTATCTGCACAGAGACCTACAACCAATGCAGATTGGTGCAAGAGGACAGAGAGTCCTGGGTAGTAGGTTTGAAAAAGGAAAATCTGATAGAATAGCTGACTAGATGTGGAGGCTGAAGAAAACTAAGAGTATAATAAAACCAAAGAATACAAGAAAAAGGCAATTAGAAACTCCTGGAAAAATAAAAAGCTGTATAGGAAAGAAAAAGTAATTTGATACCTTTCCTGGCTCTGCAGTGAATAGTAGTTAACAGTCACAATAATGTAAACTCTGTTTATTAACTTTCACTTTTTAGAAATAACATATAGACAATATTTGGAAAATATGATTGTAGTATGGGACAATGTAAATGTTACCAATTCTAATCTTGAAAAATAAAAATACAGGTTGGAGTTCTTGGGAGGTGGAAGGCAGGGAGGAAAGCTAAAGGGAAGGATGGAAGGATGGTGCACGAAAAAACGTTATCTTACTTTGTGGGGTGTCACAAAATACTGCCCGAGGGCTGGCTAGACGATTATCTGAGTTGGGTAGAGCATGGTGTTATAACACCAAGGTCAAGGGTTCAGATCCCCATACCAGCCAACTGCCAAAAAAAAAAAAAAAAAAATTTGGGCTGGCTGGTTAGCTCAGTTGGTTAGAGCGCTGCCTTAAAACACCAAGGCCATGGGTTTAGATCCCTGTACCAGCCAGAGTAAAAAATAAATAAATAAAAAAAATTAAAAATAAAGAAAAAGAAACTAAGCAGAAAAATAGCTCAAATGAAACTATCACAGCTGGTTTAAGGAGTGAGACTGGGGGTGTGATGTAGGGGATTCTTACTTGAATGAACTCTTCAGTACTATCTAGCCACCTGCGTATTTCTTTGGTAAAGTTAAAGGAACATGTTGAGCCCCAGGTATAGGCCAGGCACTGTGCCGGGGGCTGAGAGTACAGCGCTAAACAAACACAGTCCCTGCATCGTGTTGCTTTCAAGACTTTTGGCTGCAACCATAGGAGATTCTCAAATCTCTCTTATTTCTCATTCTCCTTTCTCCTGAGCTCTAGACCCAACTCCACTCGCTGATTGCATTTTCCCAGAAAGGGACTTCAGATTCACCTTGTTTAAAATACTATGCATCCCTTGTAGGAGCGTGAGCTGTCTCCTCTCTCTGGAAAGCCCCTTGTTTCCTACAGGGTTCACTGATTCCTGGAGACCTTCTGGACCCTACCCCATTGTTCTGGGTGAGGGGCTGCTCCTACAGCCACCCTGCCCTCCCCTCCAGATCTGTATCGAAGCACAGTCTCTTGCTGATTGTCAATAAGACCCCAGGCAGAATGTGTGGGTTGCCCACTTGGAATCTCTGATCTCCTGCACAGAAAGTCTGGCATAAGGTAGATGCTCAGCAAATGTCTCTGCAAAGAATTGAATTCCTTATCCCTCTCGCCTTGCCAGACTCTGCAGTTTAGCCTCCGTTTCTTCCCTCAAGTTCACATCCCATGTATCTATACTCTAGTGTGGCCCACACGGTTCTGCGTGTCTGACTCCCATCTTCCTTTCCAGTCTCTAATCTCTTGATATCCCCCGTCTCCCCTCGCCCTGATCCATCCTTCATCCTATCACCCAAATTAGAAACCTGGGTCATCTGTGACTCTCCTCACTTCCGTGGTTCTTGACCTTCCTACCTCTGATGCTGACCTTGTACGCATCCCTCTTCTACCCCACTGCCTCTCTCCACCTCTCCCAATACAAGTCAACAGACTTACTACCTGCTGTCGCTTGGCGCTGAGTTCTTTGCACACATTCAGACTTCACAGCTGCCCTATGCACACGTGGCCATGGCTCTCCTCTCACAGATGAGCCTGGCTGGCTCCAAACTCTGTGATGCTAATCACTGTTCTGTCTTAAACCTCTTTAGGCCCCAGCTGGGCCACTGCAACCACGTTCCCCTCCAACCTGGGCTTCTCAGACCCCAGAGTGAGCCTGCTACATCACACCTGCCTCTGGTTACACCCAGACTCTAGTGTGGCCTGAAAGATCCTGCATGGTTTGACCTCTGCCTTCTTTTTTCATCTCTTGGTATCCAGCTCCCTGGATGTCCCAAGCTCAAGGCACCCCAAAGCATGGCAGGCCCTTTTGTGCCTTAGTGCCTTTGCACATGCTATTTCTTATACCTGGAATCTTACTCAAGCCTGAAAGCCCAACTCAGATCTCCACTGCCATCTTCTCTGTGGCAAGCCTAGCTGTCCAACCAAAGCTGCTCTCTGGTTGTTGATTCTTAGCACATTTTTAATGCTGGACCATGTCCTCTTGGGAGAGACAGTCCCAAGAAGAAAGCCCCATTTCAGTGGGGATCTAAGCCCCTATCTGTGAAAAGGACACCCAGGGCACCTAGGGGCAAACATCTGTGCTCACTGGTGCAGAGAAGAGTAGAAGGCACTGAGGAGGTGCTCAATAAATATTTGTTGAAAGAAGACTGCTCCTCCCTGCAAAGCTCCAAGCATCAACTGGGGACAAATGGATGTGATTTTTTGGATTACCTGCAATTTGGGATAGTTCATGAGTCGTTTCCTGGACACAAGGCCATTGCTCCTGCCCAGAACCCCTCCTCCAAGAACCCGGTGAATCTGTGGGCTTTACCCCACGGTGTGCCCGTACTGGGAGCGGTTAGGGGCGCGGGGAAGGCTTTGGGGAGGGTCGACCTTCCTTTCCGGCGCCCGGGTTCGGGAGCAAGGGGAGGGGCCGGGCCGATTGCTTGCCGCCCGCTCCGCGCCCCGCCCCCTCACTTTCACTTTCTCCGCCCGGCACCCCCACCTCCGTCCCTTGGCGCCCCCCACCCTCCTCGGCCGCACGCGCGCCCGCACGCTCCCACCTGTCACCCCCATGCTGTCCGAAGCTCTGTCGAGGAGGCCGGGAGCGGGCTGACGGCTGCTGCCCTTCTGCCTCCAGTGTGCTCTTTGGGAGGTGGGGTGGGGGGCACGGGAGATGCCGGGGGCGCCTGCGCCTGTGATGTCGCCGCCTCTGTGACATCCCCGCCACGACCCCCCACCCCCACCCCCGTAGGCAGGAAACCGCTCTCGGGATTGCCAGCACACGGGCCTTGGCGGCCGAGGGAGCGTTCTTTGGTTACCCTCCCTCACCCCCGCAGCCGGAAGCCCTCTCTGAGCGGTGGGGAAGGCAGCCCCTGGTAAGGCAGGGGTCTGCGGGGCTGGGCTATGCACCTGCTCTGGGCACACCGGGCACAAGGCTGCTGCCCCTTCCGTGGGCCCTGAATCAACCCAAGCCATTGGTGTGCCCATGAGCATGCACACACTTGCACACAGCTTTGGGGCTGTAGAGCCAGATTAGACACGGGACCCTGTGTTCCCCTCCCATCCATCCTCAGACAGGAGCTTCCCCCTTCCCCCCCATGACCAAGGAACTCACTCTTGGAGTCATCCCTGACCCCATGGGGGTGCTCAGGAGGCAGCTGGAAGGGGTGGGAGTCCAACTAGTTCAGTTCCCTGGAAGCTGGGCCTCAGAGACAGGAGGGGTGGCTGGAGGGCGTGTTGTGTGCACCCCCTGTCCATTCCTGGATCACGCCCAGCACCTGATCCCTTATCTCCCTTCTGGTGGTACTGGGCTGCCTGACCTAGGCAAAGGCACAAAGTGTGCAGACCTTGGTGTCCTCCCTTGGTTCTCCTCAGCCTGGCAGTGTTTGGCCAGGAACTGCCTTGCTGCCACCAGGCAGGGCATCTTTCCTAGCTGGTCTGAATGGACAGCCCAAAGGTGGGACTGGAGGTACCTACTGGGAGGAGTGGTGTGAAAAGGGGCCCCATTCAAGGGTAGAAAGCAGCCCTTGCCCTGAACAAGGGGGAGACTTGAAAAGACCCCACCAAGAAGGCAAAGGAAGGAAGCCCTTAGGGTTGTGGGGGTCAGTGAGCAGACAGCAAGAGTGGGGACACCCATGGCCTAGAAGCATTTGTCATCACTCAAAACTTTATTGCTCACAGAGTTCTCTACAACCTGAACTCTGCAGTACCATGGCTGCAGTTCTTCATGTGCTGGGGCGGGATCTCTCCATGGGAGCAGTCTGGCTCGATGTGAATAGCTGGACAGAGGCCACCTTGGCAAGATGTGGGGACAAGCTTCTCCCAAAGAGGGGTCTCAGTGCCCCCAGGCCCTAGGAGGTTAAGGCCAGCAGGCCCCTCCCTCCCAACGATTCACAGTTGATTTAATGCTACATGAGCAGCTCCCCAAGAGAAGAGGCTGGCCGGGCAACGGGGAAGGGGGTGCTCATCTTGAAATCTGAGATGGTTGAGGGGTCACATGCAGGTGGACAGGTCAAGACTGAGTCTCTTCACCAATCTCCTGGCCTGCTTGTCCCACCCTCCTGGACGGCAGCTGTGAAAGTGCTTTGAGGTCATCAGAGTGCAAAGTGTAGTCGGCAGTGCCCTGCGACATGGGATGGGGCAGGGCAGGGTCGATGTGACGCTGAGCTGCGCTCCTGGGGAACAGGAGTGCCTACATCCCCCGCTTTCTTCAGTCTCTGTTATGCCGTATCCTCCCACAATTCCTGACAGGTGGGCCTCATGTCACCCTTCTCTTTAACAGATGAGGGAACTGAGTGCCAGCTAGTCAGAGGCAGTGACACTCTGGGGAAGAGTGGCCAGCCACCAAGGAGCACGTGCTGGGGACTGAGAATCACTTCACTTCAATACCTTTGGTCCTTGGCTGAACTGGAGTTCAACTCAGGACCAGTGTGGCAGCAATCTGACACAAGAAGACTTCCAAGTGTCAGGCATTCCATCCTCCTACATCCGAAAGGGGCTTAGATGGCCAGGCAAGGCCAGACGAGGGGTCAGAGACCCCCATTAACCCAAGGCAGGCAAACCTGCTGCCCTGGTCCTGTACAAGACCTCGATCTGGGCCCTTGGACACCTGACACCCTCACCCTACCTGGGGGCTGAGGGGCCTCACCCCTCCTGACCCGGGCTGGAAGCTGCTCTCCCCTGACTGCCAGCAAGTGGTCACTGATCTGAATGGGTCAGGCCAACTTATATGGAGCAGGCAGAGAAGCACCTGTTCGTTTCCCAAGGGTCCTCCTGTCTTCCTCCTCGTCTCTGCATGTGGGCAAAGTATTCTCTTGGCGGGTCAGGCAGGACTCAGGTGGGAAACCCTGGCAGGTGTTTTGCTTGCTGCCATGTTGTGGCTGCCAACCCCTGGGAGCAGGTTAAGCCTGGATCTCCGGGTGGCATGGAGCACCAAGAAGGAAGGCTGCTTCTGACAGAGTAGAGCCAGCAGTGGAAGGCGGGGCTAGGGCCGGTTCTCCAGCCGGCCATGCTTGACCCTCCAGCTCCAGGCAAAGCTGCCATCAGGGGCTAGGGTGCACTGCAGGTCAATCCCCGAGTCTGGCACTTCCATGTCATAGCGAACAGGTTGTCCATCTTTGGTCACCAGGCTGAAGGCTGCAGCTGGGATCTAGGGGCGGAGCAAACCAGTGTGCTGAGACAAGGGACTCAGAAGCCACCCAGGAGTGTAAAGCTGATGGCCCCCTACTGCACTGGGAGACATCTCCCTCCAGCCAAACAGGCAGCTTCGAGGGCACTGTCTTTCACTCTGGAAGACTCGGAAGATCCCACCTGGACCAAGTGGGTCTTGAAGACCTCTCAATCACCACTGCCACTCTTGCCCTGGGACTCTGGGGACATCTGAGGCCATGTCCAACTATTCTCTAGTGTGCCATTTCTACTTATTTGAAAACCTTCCTCCTGGAGGGCAGGGCCAGGTGCACTAGCTTCTGGGACTCTGCCCCTAAGTGTGTACCTTACCCGCTTACCTGGCTGCTGATGCCGGTCGCAATGTCTCCCACCTTGACCCGGTGGAACTCCCGGATGTGCAGGTGTTCGCCATTGAGAGACTGTATTTGGACCTTCACACCTAGAAGGCAGTAGGCAAGATGGTAGTCAGGAGGGCAGCTCCTGGCTCCCCAAGAAGGAGGGTCTTGGCAGGGGCTGGGGGAAACTTCTTGTTAAAGTCACTCTACCCTGTGTAGAGTGGAACAGGTCTGGCTGTGATGAAGTGGCAGGGATAAAATTTAGGCTGGAGTGGCCCCAATATTATACACCTGCTAGCTTTTCCTGGCCACCAACACCCAGGATTTGGCCTGCACATAATTAAGAGCTGAGCTTGGCTCCTATTGGGAAGCAGGATTCCAACTTTCAGTTCAGAAAGGAACTGAACACAAAAATTTTTAAATTAGATTGTAGGCAACCTGGATTGTTCCCTGAATTGAAGCAGCCTTTGGCCAGGCCATGGGATCTGATGCTACAAGTCACACCAGCCTGGGGGAGAGCCAGGGAACTGTGAGCTGATGAAGTCCTTGTTCTAGCAAAATCACAACATAACCTATGTAACCAAGCTTGAAAACTGAAAAATCACATGTTGTCTTTCTATCTTCTAACCTCAAATCCCAGAGGAGGGGTCCAACAAACTTGTTGCCGAGTTCTTGATTAAAATGCTCATGGGTCCTGTTCCTTCCTTTTCCCTTCTGAAGGCATTAATTGCTTGGTTTCTTGACTCCAGGCCAGGAGAGGCTGCTCTCCTCCCCCAGCTAGGGGGCCTTCTGGGACTCCACCAGCAGCCAATGAGGGGACAATGGTCCTTTACTGTCCCATCAGCCTTTGCCTAATTACTAGCCAGGGACCTCACATTTTAGGCACCAGGTGCCTTCCTCTCCCTTCCCCACTATGCCAGGGAAAAGGACCATGAACCCTCAGTCCCAGGCAGATCAGTCCCAGGCAGATCGGCTGCCATGAGGCTGCTGAGCAGGTGAGTTGACAGTACCATTGAAATAGCTTGGGGTGTCGGTGGGCCGCCCCCGGGCCAGCACCATGTTCCAGCTGGAGCTTCGAGCCTCTGCCTGGCTGCTCCACGAGTGTATGCCAGAACTCAGGGTGTCTCGTGAGCTCTGAGAGGCCTTTGATGGGTTCTGAAACAACAAGAGTGGCCAAGACTCAGGCCCCTGGGCTCAGGGAACCATCTCCGGCCTTGGTTTCATTTGGGACAGGGGGTCCTGGGCCCTCCCCTGGAGTGAAGAGCTGCTCGTGTCCTAGGCTGGAGGAGGGTAAACGGTACTATGGGGGGAGCAAAGGCTACCTCCCCTCTGTCCCTGGTAGCCAGACTCATTCCCTAATTCCCAGGACTGTTGAAGATGATGTCTCACTCTGAAAAACCATGACCTCCTGCCCCAGTGAGGACCCTCCCAGAAGGAAGGGGTGACCCCGTCACCCACTGTCCTGCCACTCCTTGCACACAGCCCATTCACCAGGGCTCCGGGCCCATAGCCCACTCACCTTCTCACTCTCATCTGACAGGGAGAGGCTGTCGATGCTGAGGCATGAGAGAATTTGCTCCTGCTCCTCCAGAGAAAATGGCTGCGACAGGCTGTTCAGAAATAATTCTGCAGGGAAAAGCGGAAGGTGGCTGTGAGAGACCCACTGGGGCAGGAGCTGAAAGAAAACCCACGACAGACAGACAATGGAGACACACGGCCTCAGCGGGAAGCCCAGGGCCAGTGCACAGGGACCCAGAGGCCCCAGGGCCGTGCAGCTGCTGTGGCTGGCTGCACACACCTATTTCCAGCTGCTGTAGCTCCTGCTCGGGGAAGGTTGCTTTCCGCTCTGGTGAGTTGGGGGTTTTGGCAGGGGCCGGGTCCAAAGAGGACAGAGGCAAGGGTTCCCATGTCCCAGACTCCTCCTTGCTCAAGTGCAGGGTTGAAGACTTGTTTGGCTCTGGGGGTTCTGGTGGTAGAGGCAGCTGAGGCTTACAGGTCCCGCCTGTTGTGTCCTCAGCTGGCAGGGGCCCTGGAGCCCCTGGCAAGTGCTCCTTCGGCTGGGCGTGGGGGGTCTGGTGATAGTTGGCTTGGTTTGGCAGTGCACGTCTTGGTTCCTTATATTCTCCCCTCCAAGGGCTCTGCAGACCTCCCACTACAAAACAGAGAGCACACGTGGTGAGGTGGAAACATGCCGGCACACAGGTGCCAGACCAGGTAGGGATGGCCTCTCCTGCCTAGAGGTGGCCGGTGGGGAGCAGGGGCAGGACTTTGCTGGGGCACCTCGATGGCAGATGATTTAGGAGGGCAGTGTGGTGGTCTCCGGAGGAGGCCTCTTCAGTACGATGGCCCTATTTAACAGGAATAGGACTGTGTTTCTGTCTTTTATTCCATTTTCCTTTTAGGTATCAGTAGCAAATTCAGAATCAGCTCCAGAGAAAAACTTTGTTAACAGTAAGGAGAAGATTTAAAAACAACTCTGGGACAAGACTAACTTAGAGTTCTCAAGTAAGCTGGCCTCCCTGACCTGCCATCAGCTCTCTTACCCTACCCGCAGTTAGTGCTTCCTAAGGGCACCATTTCTGTGGTATGGGAGGCAGTTCAGCTCCGGGGCCATCCTTGAAATTAATTATAACTACCATCTATTTTTGGTGAGGGGTTATGCAAGGTTTCTCATTCCTGTTTTATTAATTCCCTTTTTTTTTTTTTTTGGCGGCTGGCCAGTATGGGAACTTGAACCCTTGACCTTGGTGTTATGGCACCATGCTCTAACCAACTGAGCCAACCAGCCAGCCCTACTTATTCCCTTTCCTTTCCTCTAACTGCTGCTTTTTCCCTGCCCACCCCCCAGGAAACATTTTATTATGTTTAATGTGTCACTTTTGATTTGATCATGTTCTTGCACAATGTGTGTTGTTTTTATTGATCGATTTTTACAAAAAAGGCATTATGTTCTAGGTCTCATTCTATTGGTTCCTCATTCCCTCAACCTGTGGCTTTAAGGTCCACCTGTGTTGCTCTGGGAACGTCGAGTTGCTGGAGCTGCTGCTTAGTGATCCATGGGGCACCCCCACCTTTTACTGCTCCACTTCCTCAGTGAGGGACCCCAGACTGCGCTCAACTCCCCTCCCACATGTGTTGCTGCAGTGCACGTCCTCAGACGTATCCCCTTATGGATCTGGTGGGAATTCCTTTGGCGATGCATTCAGGTGCAGAGGTCTGCAGACAGCTGCCTGAGTGCTGCCAGGTGCCCTCCAGCAGAGCCTAAGGGTCCTCCTGCCCCACATGCCCACCAACACTTGGCACTACCAACCTTCTGATCTTTCCCAGTCAAATGGCTGTCAAGTGGTACCCAGCTTTCTTTTGCACTCTCTGATTCTTAGAGAGTTTGAGCTCCCTTTGCATGCGGTGGCCCCTCTTCCTCGTGTCATGAGCACTGCCTGCACGTCAAGGCATGGCACCAAACACCTGTACTCATGTCACCTCAATCTTCCTAACAGCTCAGAGGCTGGACTCATCCCCATACTCCAGATGGGTGAACGAAGGTTCGGAGAGGTCAGTTAAGTACCTTGTTCTTGACCATGACCTGCCCTGCCCCCTCCCTCAGCCACGGCTCTCCGCCCCTGCTGGGCTCTTACCTTGCTGCAGCGCCCGGCTGACCTTCCCCCACAGCTCTGCCGCGGATGCTCGGTACACAGGCTCCTTCCTCAGCCCCTCCTGGATGGCCTGGGCTGTGAGAAGGGCACAGGAAGGTGGGATCTCCCTCACAGGCGGGGGCTCGCTGGCGATCTGAGGGCCAAAAGACAGTGTGTAAGGCCTGCCCCCCTCACTGCCTAGCACCCAGCTTTGTTCCTGCCCTCCACCAATTCCCCTGCTCCTCGCCTACACTGTGCGGGGGTCTGTCACAAGGAATGAAGAGGTCTGGGCTAGATCAAGGGCTGGGACTTTTCCTAGAAAAGGAAAAAAAGGAGCCAGGTAGGACAGGCTAGAGCCAGGCAGCAAGATGCCCATGACCTCCAGGAACAGCCTGGCAGGAAGCAGGTGAAGATGTCTCAGTGTATGGACAGGAAAGAGCGCTAACCTGTGGCAAACTCAGTGAGACCCTTCAGCTACGATCTCCCCTTGTACCCTCAGATTTGGCAGCAAGTATCTTAGTCAGGATCCCACATTTATCATGTGAGCCTCCCCTGTTCCCGTCTGCCACTGAACAGCAGCCAAAACGGGAGGCCCCCTCCAGGCTTAAGCTCAGGCTCCATGGCCCTCCTGGCTTCCCCTCCTAACCATCCCAGGTTCTGTCACTGACCTTGAGGCAGAGCGGCCCTCGGAAGAACTGGGTCCAAGGGTGGCAGCCATTGAGCATGTGCAGCATCATGCAGCAGCTGCTCCAGACATCCACCTTGGCATCACAAGGCTTGCCCATCACCACCTCTGGAGCCATGTGGGTCTCTGTGCCAGGGATGTAGTCCCCTGAGAAAGCATGGGGGAGAAAGAAAAATCACCTGTGAACTCTGATGGCAAGAGCCTAGGCAAAGACCACCCCAGCCAATTTCTAGGCTGCCTTGAATTTGTCTCTCTTAAAGTATTTTAAGAAATAAAGCCTCCAAGTCAAACTGGCTGGGGATGAGCTAAGTCAGGGACTCGGCTGGGGACTGGTACAAAGCAACAGATCACCCATAACATGGGCTCTGCCCTCTGGACCAAACCTTTAAAGTGCTTTTTAAAAATGGGGAGGGGCCTGGACATTGAAAATTAGGTTGTAGAAGAATAATTACTGGTATGATGTTCCTGAAATATCAGCAAGTGAAAAAACAAACCAATAATAGAAAACTTATGTGTATAAAAGACTGGAAGGATCACTAGCAGATGTTAATTGTGGTTTTTTCCTGATGATTTGTATTAAAAATTTTTGCTTAGCTCTACTTCAAAAGATATTAGAAGAGATAGTATTTTTGTAATAAGAAGAAAACCACCAAAGTTATTTTAAGGTGGAAGTCAGGTGTCCATGTTCAATTTACACCTTCAGAATTACCAACACAGTCCTTTAACAACACACAATCAGGGCCGGCCCGGTGGCGCACTGGAGAGTGCGCCGCTTGGGAGCGCGGCGGCGCTCCCACTGAGGGTTCGGATCCCATGTGGAGACCGGTTCCCGCTCACTGGCTGAGCGCGGTGCGGGCGCGGCGCCGAGGGTTGCGATCCCGTTACTGGTCAGTAAAAAAAGACAAAAAAAAAAAAAGAAAAAAAAAAAAAAAACTTTTTTTTTTTTTTTCAAAAGATGACTGGTAAGGGGATCTCAACCCTTGGCTTGGGGTTGTCAGCACTATGCTCAGCCAGTGAATCAACCGGCCATCCCTATATAGCATCCGAACCCGTGGCCTTGGTGTTATCAGCACCACACTCTCCTAAGTGAGCCACAGGCCAGAGCCAGTGAATCAACCGGCCATCCCTATATAGCATCCGAACCCGTGGCCTTGGTGTTATCAGCACCACACTCTCCTAAGTGAGCCACAGGCCAGCCTCTACAATCATATACTTCTAAAAGACTGTTTTTCCTTTGGCCAAAATGAAATCATTTTATCGTTAATGCTGTAAATGAGAAAAGCAGGGTCCCAAATTGTGTTATAACGGCCTTAACTAGGTACAGGAAAAAAACGTGGAAGGAATTATCTAAAATATTCATGACTACGATTCTCTCTCTGGGTGACTGGAATGGTGAGAATTCTTTTCCTCTTCTTTTATACCACTTAACTCTGTATATGCCAAATACTTTACAATGGGCATGGATTATTTTAGTAATCAGAAAAATAGAAGTTAAAAGTAGACATTTCACCAGCTACAGAGCCCAGGCTCCTTGGTCAGCCTGCCCTCTGTGCTTCCAGCCAACCATGCTCTCAGAGGTGCAGAAGAGCTGGGGTCACAGGCTGGCCACACAGCTCCCCTGAAAAGGCCAGACAAGAGGGGAGGAGGTACAGAGGCTCTAAGGCGGAAGTCCTGGGACCCAGGGCGAGTCACCCAGCCTCTCTTGTCTTTTCCCTGCTTAATGGGAGCATCAGAACTGAGCACCTGACATCCATTATTGCATTTACACATAACAAAAACCTTATAGTAAGCCCCACTGGCTTAAGTACACTTGATGGATGTAAAGTGCTCCCATCTCTTATTCCTGTTATGGAAAGCACGGAAGGCACATGGCTAATGCTTAGTAATGGCTACTGGCTACTAACATTGCGGGGAGGGAGAGTCTGGGGGAGGCTTACCTGTGAGCAAGGACTTCCCCAGTCCATCAGGTTGAAGGCACATGGCATGGCCAAAGTCGCAGAGGGCTGCACGGCTCCCGTCGCTGGACAGGAGCACATTATCAGCTGCCAGGCCAGCATCAAGGAGGAAGAGGAACAGGTGAGTCATGTCGGGCCCCAGCCCACCCTGGCTCAGTTTGCCTGGACCTCCAGTGACCCTACGTGGCAGCTGCTGCTTCTGATTAGTTTCATTAGTCATGGAAGAAGGGAGGAGGGTATCGGTTCAGGCTAGAGGCAGGCAGCAGGCAGGATCTCTGAGGGTGTGGGGACAGGGACAGTGTTCACCCCTGGGGATAGTGCCACTCTGCTCTCCTGCCTTCACCCTCTCCCCGTGGTTACCAGGCTGTAGGAGCTCGATCTTAGTTCTCTGCGGGCACCATCCACTGGAAACTACAGTGCCAGGCTGAGGGCTTGGAGAACATCGTTCTCCTTCCCACTGGGCATAGCCCTATCACCTGACTCAAACCCTGCCAATGGAGATGACCAGACAGGCCCAGAAGATCTGGGAGGAAATCAGGCAGTACAGCGTGAGGGAAGAGCCCACTGGGGAACAGGGCCAGGGGTGGGGGTGGGGTAGTTGAGCCTCACCTTTGACATCTCCATGTAGGACCCTTCGTGTATGGAGGTATTCCAACCCCTCCAGGGCCTGGCCCAGGTAGTAAAGGGCTCGGTCCTCGGGCAGACAGCCCTTCTGCTTTATGAGCTGGCCCAGCGAGCCACCTAGGAGACCAATGGCCAGACTTTACAAGGGGCTTTCCCAGGCCTCCCAGCAAACCAAGGGCAAGAGTGAAGGGCAGGTGATGGAAACGCAGGCCTTTCCTGCAGATGCCACAAGGTCAGGAGGTTAAAAATGGATTGAGTGGAGACCAAGGTCAACATGGGCAAGACTCAGGGGGAAACCCTTGGCCCTGAATTTCAGGGGTGGAGGGAGAGTGGGTGGGACCTGGCTCCTTACCTTCCAGAAGCTCCATGAAGATGTTGACCCAAGGACCTTCCCTCACAGCTCCATACAAAGGGACAATTCTGGGTGAGGTCAATCCCGCACACGCCATCAATTCCTCTGCCCGAAATACTTCGACCCGCACCTGAAAGGCCCAGAGGCAGCTGTCAATCATGGTGAGGGGACCGGGGCTGGTTCTCTGGCATCCTGTCAGGACCCTTGGTGCTCCACAGGCAGGGGCTGCTGATGTTTCCAGTGATGACACTGGGGCCAGGCAGGGATCTGGTGGACCCTCAGAGACTAAACTGTACCATGTACCCTTAGTGTCAGGGGCAACTTCTTGTACTTAACTAAAGTTCTGTAGTGCTGACCATGTGCGAAAACACTATGACACTGGGGCCAGGCAGGGATCTGGTGGACCCTCAGAGACTAAACTGTACCATGTACCCTTAATGTCAGGGGCAACTTCTTGTACTTAACTAAAGTTCTGTAGTGCTGACCATGTGCGAAAACACAGTCACACAAAAGCTACATTCCTTATCCAGGTTCCCAGCATGCTGCTCATTCCCAAATCAGCCAAACACAGAACATTTTTTCCCAGCCCAAATGTCTGGACAATTTCTAGGACTTGGGACCTTTTGTTTATCAACATCAATGTCTACTCTCAGAAGCTGGGTTTCTGACTTATCTGACTCTGTCAAGAACCAAGATTCTGATTCTCTCGGGGGCCTCTGAATCCTCAGTATCCCTCTCAGCATTTTTCTTAACTCATTATAATTTGTCTCTTTCCCAGAGGACTAAAATGTCCATACAGACAGGGCAGTGTTTATGTTTATTCTGTTTGCAGCTATTTCCCCAGCACCTAGGCACATAAAGAGGCTTCTGGGGAGGAGTTTGGCCAAGGCCCTTCCCACCACGGACTAGCCTGTCTGGGATCATCCACTGCTTTCTGCAGGGACCAGCAGCTTGACATGGTGGGAAGAAATAGGGCTTGAATACAAACATCTTGGACTTAGATCCTGGCCTGATCATTTAAAAAATGGCAACACACTTCTGTCAACCCTGTGTTTCCATGAGTATACAGGGGGGATGGAGGTATCTGCTCCTGGGGAGAGTGAGGATTTGGAAGGATGACAACTGGCACCATGCCTGGCAACCAGTGGCCTCTCAGGAAGTGGTAGATCCCCACATCCTCCCTCCAGCTCAAGTAAGAGCAGCTTATTAAACACTTAGACTTAGTAGAGACTCATCTCCTTCCTGGCTGCTGCTGGTTCCTGGGTAAGCCTTGAATGGCATCGCCAGGGGGCGCCAGTGGTAACAGAACCAGCCTGGAAGAGATCAATTAGGGACCCCGCAGCTTTGCTTGGAGACTTGCTGACGGGAACAGCAGCTCTGATGATGTGGGACTTTTGGACTTTTGGAAAAGTGGAACATGTTTCCCCTCTTGTTACTTAAAGAATATCTGGTTTGGTTAATCAACTCACAGGAACTTTGACTCACTGTTGGCGCTTCCAGTTCTAAAAGGCCTCTGAACCTGAGTTGGAACTAATTCACCAACAGGACTTGTATTAGATCTCATGAGGTCTTTAACCTTACTACTCCTGAACCATGAGTTGAAGCACCCTGGGGGCACCGCAGAGAACTCAGAAGGGCACAACAGGATATTGTACATTTGAGGGAGATAGTGACGTTCAACATTTGCAGGACAGCGCAAACTACTAGCTCAAGACAATTCAGTTTCAACATGAGATTGCACTACATCTTTTTTGGTGATATATCTTCATGAAGCTAGGTTTTTGGAGGTTGCTCTGATAAAAAGTACTTCAGGGGGAAAATGTAAAACAGGAATGAAGGCAGTCATGTCCAATCTGATTTCAAGGTTTGAGAAGCTCTGCAGGGCCCAACAAGGAATCTGGTTGTTTAAGAACGGAAGGAAATTTTTCCTTTCAATTTATGTGTTTTGCTTTTTTTTTCTTTTTGTATTGCTTTTCAAACGGTTGCTAAGTTGTTTTAGGATAAAGACTTATTATTTGACCTAACTACTTAATAAACAGAAGTTAGGTATTTGTTTTGGCTTGGAATGCTATGAAAAAATTGTTGACATAGTAAGGGTTGCGAACCCTTAAGAAATGTGTAAGTCCTCTAGAGTGTCCCAGCAATGCCAGAAAACATTTCCAACCACCCAGACCAAAGCGAGTGGGAGGGACACTTCAAAATACCAGGTGTTGGGCTGGCTGGTTAGCTCAGTTGGTTAGTGCACTGCCTTGTAACATCCAAGTTAAGAGTTCAGATCCCCATACCGGCCAGCAGAGGTCAACAAACAAAACCTAAAAACTTCACTCTAAGACAAACAAACAACCACGAGGTGCTTTAAAAGTCTGTGCCAGCCAGAGAAAGCCAGCTGAAAGGGCAGCCCTGAGGGAGTCAGGTGGGAGCAAGCACCCCAGCCTTCCTGGATAGGACTAAAAACTTCACTCTAAGACAAACAAACAACCACGAGGTGCTTTAAAAGTCTGTGCCAGCCAGAGAAAGCGAGCTGAAAGGGCAGCCCTGAGGGAGTCAGGTGGGAGCAAGCACCCCAGCCTTCCTGGATAGGCCAGCTGCCCGTCTGGCATTTTCTCCTCTCTGGACTTCAGTGTCCTTGTCTGTAAAGGGTAGGGGCTGGACTGTGATGAAGATGTTCACAGAACTAATACATAATGGTCACTTATATGCCAGGCACAAATCCAAAAGCCACTTCTCTCCACTGAATTGCCTGGGGATTACTTTTTCCTCCATGAAACTCTCTTATTTTCTTTGGCATTTTTATCTGTTTTATTCCATCAGTGAAAAAGAGGATAATACCAATTCTGTAAGTTCTTTTGAAGATTCCAGGACTATAAACTATGAGAAAGTGACTAACAGTACCGGGCACATAGATATTCAGCAAAGATGAAGGTCCCCCCTTTATTTCCTCATCACCACCGAGATGTTCTCCCCTTGCTCCTTGCTCCATTTTCATTTGAAAGGTGTCCAGGGCCGGTGGCCACTTCCCTTCCTGCCAGGTGAATGTCTATCCCCTGTTATAATTCGAGTTCCTTCAGGTAAGGACTGTGGATTCCACATCTCTGTCCCCAGCCCCGGCACAGCATCTGGCACAGAGCAGGTGCTCAGGGACAGCTGATCTGACTTGGCCAAGGCCACAATGTCCCAGGTCAGTGGCAGAGCCAAAAGGAGGCTCCCAAAACTCATGCTTGAGCCAGATGTTCTAAAATGAAAGGTTCTTAGCCTTTTTTGGGTCACAAACCTCTGAGAATCTGATAAATGACATGGACTCTTCTCCATCAAAAATGTGTGCATGCCCATACACGCAACATACAAACACACTTTTGAATAAAGTTCCAAGAATTTATGGATCCTGTGAATCCATTCACTGACTAGGATAAGAACTTACATGTTGGCTGTTAAAAAGCACAAGTGAGGGGCTGGCCCGTGGCTCACTTGGGAGAGTGTGGTGCTGATAACACCAAGGCCACGGGTTCTGATCCCTCAATGGAAACTCCAAAGTCATATGTCTTCACTGCTGAATTCTGACAAACGTTTAAAGAAGATATGAGGATACTTCAAGAAGTTTGTGAAAAAATGAATTAAGATGGTAGAATAGACAGTCCCCTAAGTCACTCTCCCCGACAACTGATCAATATACAACTATTAAAAAGCAAAGACTGCCAGCCTGGGACCACTGGAGCTCAGGGGAAGAGGAGGAGAGACAACAGAGTTTGTGAAGGTAGAAGAAGCCACAGTGAGAGGGAAAATGGATCACTCCAACCATTTCAAGCCCTGGCTGCTTCAGGGCAAGCCCAGTGAGGGTGTGGAAAGAAGTTGCAAGACATACAGCAAGAGCCAGTGAAAGAAGCAGCTGAGCCCTTTGCATGAAGTTCCTTGGAGTCTTCTTGGGAGAAGAGGGCCTCAGAGTGCTCCATACCAGCTCCCAGGCCAGCAAGACCACAGACAGCATTCCCATGGACCACATAGGCATTTGGAGTGTGGGGGTGCAAATCTGCATGAAAGAAACATGGTAATCATCTCTACAGTGGGATCTCACTTTTATAAAAAAAACAACCACATGTTTATATATGCATAAAAAGTCTAAAAAGATATGTTAAAGGGTGGTTACCTCTGAGAATGGAATTGGGAACAGGGAGACTGGCTTTTTTTGTTATATGAATTCTTTTATAATGAGCCTGTGTTTGTTTGCAATTAAAAGCAAGATCAAACAAAAACCTTAAAAAAGAATTAAAAACCCTGCATTAAACCCTGGACCCATGCACGGTCAATCAGCATCTGACCTGAGGCTAAGGATGTTCTAGAAGAGGGAACAAGGTAGACATGGCATCACCAAGTGATACCACATGCCCTGGATTCTCCCCAGGGAGCACTGGAGGGGCACTGACTTGCTCTGACCCTATGTGCAGACTGACCTCTGACCCCAGGCCCACCTCCTCAGTCCCTGTCCCCTGATTCAGGAAATTTCTCATGAGGTCTTCCAGCTGAAGATCCTAAAGGATACCACTGCCTGCCCTAACCCCTCCCCTTGAGAGAAAGGGAGGCCAGCTGCGCGGGCCAACAAGCCGTCCCCACTGCCCGCTCCTGGCTGGGAAGGAGGTGGCGTTCTCAGAGTGGCCAGCTCTGGTGGGCTTGGGTAGCATCTCTGGGGCTAGAAAGTCCATGCTTTGTGCTTGGAGCTTTTCCGACTGCCTCGGGGGTGAGAATTGAAGTATTTGTCCTCTCTCACTATATTGGGGTTGTTTACCTTGTTGCCTGGGACTCTGAGGACCTCAGCAGGGGAACAGCTGAGAAGCCCAGTGACTAAGCTCCCAGCACTGGGTGCCTGTCTAGGACACTTCACACTCTCTCACCCTCCTCCCAGCAGCTCTCAGGAGGGACAGCTGAGCCTTCTCCGGTATCCTGGGGAGGGGAACTGTAGCTGAGGAGGTCGGGCACGTGGCCTTGGCATCCAAGTGGGAGATGATGAGCCACGCTGGCGAGAACTCAGCATGTGTTTCTGTCAGTGGGGGTGGTGAGAGTGCAGCTTGCTTATTTGACACAGTATGTCTGAAGGTTGGGGTAATCCTACAGACTGTCCCCTCTCATCCCACTACCCCAAAGCCCAAACTCTAGAAATCCAACACCCTAGTACAAACTAGGGAAGCCAGGTTAATTCACATCACCCCTTAGAGCCACAGGCACCCATGACAGCAGTGGCAGTGTCCACTCTGCATAGGGCCCGAGTGTGCTGGGCTTTTCTGGCTACTTAGTCCCTTTTCTTTTGGAGGTCAGAGTGTCTCTCACATAGGCCACTTGAAACAAGGTCCATCTCTGAGCTTATTTCACCCTACCCAGTGGGCCAAGAAAATGGTCTACAGAAATGTCTCTGAGGCCCTCGTGCTAGCTCTGAGGCTATGAGTTTGGGCTAGGACAAGGTGGCTTCCAATTAAGGTGAGCTGAGAGTTGGGGGAAGGAGAAAAGGTGCTGAAGAGGAGTAGGACCGATACCCTCAAGATCTGTGGATCTGTTGTCTCACCCTGGGCCTGGACTGTGTGGTTGACAAGATGAGGCCTCAGCTCTAGGCCCAGTTGTACAGCCTTGGGCAAGTCACACTACCCTCTCTGGTCTCCAGTTCTAACATCGGTGACATAAAGGGATGGGAGAAGTGATTCATGCCTCTGCCTCTGATCCATACCCCAGGCCACGAGTCTTCCTTTTCTTTCCCTGCTTCCCGAGGCATGGCTCAAAGCTGAACTCTAGGGCCAGACAAACCTGGGTTTGAATCCTGGTTCTTCAACTAGGCCAGTTACTTGCCAAATCTCATTCCTTACAATGTCCATCCCACAGGACTGTATTATACCTGGCCAACAGGAGGCAGAACTCGAACTCAAAGCAGATCTGCTGCACTCCCAGAGGGTGGGATAAGTGATAGGTGGAGGCTCCTGCTCTTACTACCTTCTGGTCCAGGTGGGGGTGGCCCTCTATGTGGTTTAGGGGTTTTAGCTCAGCATGAATTTCATGATGACCCCACCATCTCCCAGGTTTGACCTGCCTGAGGGCCAGGCTGTACTCAGACACCACAGCCGTGTGCTCACTCTCACCCTGCCCCTTACATCCACGCACAAGGACAGCAACCGTGCCAGGACATGGGACTCGGTGCTCCCTTCCAGTTCCAACTGACCCAGGGAACTGCCAAACTCTGTTAACAAGTCAGACCCAGACCACTCTGTGACTGTCCTTGAAAGAAAGACGGGAGAATACAACAGGCCTCCTGCCTGGCCTCCTGCTTCAGCCCCCGGAGCCCTGGCATGCTTCCATGATGGGCACACCTTTTTGACAGCACACTGGAAGCCGGTCTGCTTGTCCTCCATCCTGTGCACCTCTCCGAAGGAGCCTCTGCCCAGGCGGGGCTGCTGCGTGGCCCAGTGGACTTCTTCTCGGTACTCATAATCCACCGGCTTAAGTCTCTGGGGTTGGCAGGAGAGAGAAGCTGGTTTCAGTGGCCAGGACAGTGGAGGGACAAAGGGCTACAGTGGGGAAGGCTCCCTGCTGCTGGTCCTTGACAGGGCTGTGGGGCTGAGCCCTCAGACACTGCCAGGTCTCCAGCAGGGCTCTGGGAGGGGCAGGACCAGAGTGGGTCTTATAGCAATCAGGTGAAGGCAAAGGAGAGCTTCCCGGGCTGCCTGAGGCCACCTGATCCTTGTGATAGAGACCCTTCTCCCAGACTTGGGATTGTGGGACAGAAGCGGAACTGCCAACACCTTTGACAATGAAAAAACAACTCAGGAGCTACAAGGTGGAGAAAGGAACAGTGAAGAGAGGTGGGGGTCAAGGGATCATGTTAAAGGGGATGAAACAGTTCAGTTCCCCTTACTGGCCAGCTGCCAATAAATAAATAAATAAATAAAGTGGACAAAATAAACCCCAGAAATTAAAGTTTGGTAAAATCCCTTAACATGACAAAGTTATCCAGGAAGAGAGCTAGAGGAAAAAGGGAAGGAAGGGGGTAGTAAAGATGGGTAAATCCTCCTGTTTCATGTCAGGGGGCCATGAAATAACAGCTCGAGTTGCTATTGCTTAGTTCTGTTTCTTCAGCAATAATGAGGCAGCCAAGCAGAGGAACTAACACCAGAACTAGCTAACAAGGCTGTGAAAGTGCGGCTGGAGGGGAGTGGGGGACGACTGCTTTCACCACGATGAGCACTCTCCTACTATTTGACTTGTTACCACGTGCATATGTGACCCATGAAGTGGCAACCCATTGCCCAGGTCTGGCTGGTGTGAGCAATGCCTCTCCTCCAAGCAGGCCCCGCCCTGGCTCCCAGCTGTGGTTCCCCACCCTGGAGTTGGTGGTGGAGGTATGTGGATGGCATCTTTGGGATTAGTTACCTGGGTAAGCAGGACCCCCTCGTTGTCCTCTGTTTCAGGGATGGGCTCTCGGGGCCTGGAGCCCCCTGCCGACCAGGTCTTGGCCAGGCTGGCCAGGCTGTGGGCCTGGCCTGAGCTCACGCTGCCTTGCAGAGCGTGCACTAGGTATTCCTCCACAGAAAACTTCTCATGGGCACCACGAGAAGGGCAGCCAGGCTCCACGTGGGGGCCGGGCAGGGGCTTCTGACTATCTACATAGGCCAGTTTGCTCAGGTGTGGGCCAGGCAGGGGCTGCTGGCTATCTACACAGGACAGTTTGCCCAGGAAGGACTCCAGGGGGTGAGGTTTCCAGGGCTGAAGAGGGTGGAATGGGAAGGGATGGGGCAGTTTGCTGTAGGGGAAGGGGTGGGCGGGCCGGGGCAGGGGGCCTACATCCTGGGGGTGGTGGAGTTTCCACACATGGTTTAGACATTGCAAGGGGCTGATCAGTTTGTGGAGTTCCGCTCGAGGCAGTGCTGGCCGTAGGCCCTCGCCGAGTTTCTTAAAACAGAGTTGGCCAAGGCCTGGTTCCTTCAGAGGCTTGGTGAACTGGGGGGCATTTCTAGCATACAGGGTGCCTAGTGGAGATTCATCCTCCTGTGGGGGAAAACACAGATATTAGGACACAGGGCCAGGGCAAAGGCCCAGGCCCCTTGAACCAGGGGTCCAGGCAGTGGGTCTTACCTGCACTGGGACTGCACAGCTCTCCTGTTCAGGGGTTCTGGGGAGGGGTTTGGCCAAGGCCACTCCTGCCTGAGCCAGGGACTTCGGGTTCTTCTTTCGTTTCTTCCGGGCTTTGCTGCGACGCTTTCCCTTCCAACACACACGGGCCATCTTGCCTTCAGTTGCATGGGCCACATTGTTGGGGATCTGATCAAGACTCTCAGACTGGCTGTTAAAAAGGGACAGATCCACTTGTTGAGCAGGAGGAGGCAGGAAGACAGAATGGTTCAGATAACCGTATGTGGAGCCATACAGACCAGGTCAAATCCCAGCTTTGTTATTACTTGTGTGAATGTGGGAAAGTTCCTAAACCCCAAGGAACCTCAGTTTCCTCACTTATAAAATGGGCATAGTATTTTCTGCCATGCAGGGTAGAGATAAGGTTTAAATGAAATAGTTCATTTGAAGAGCCCACCTCAGTGTCTGGCCCCCAGGCAAGCTGCCAACAAAAGTGCTTCTGACTACGGTGCTGGGGCGCACGCTCGGCTCTTCTTGAGGAGGGGGCTGTCCCACTGAGTTCTCTCACTGCTCTCCGAGTGGGCTGCCCCGCAGAGCTCCCAGAGGGGGCTCCACACGCAACAAGCATTCTCATTCTGACTGACAAGAGTTTGTTTCTGTTGCCTCAGGAAGGAGGGACAGTAAAAGTGCTTCTGACTACGGTGCTGGGGCGCACGCTCGGCTCTTCTTGAGGGGGCTGTCCCACTGAGTTCTCTCACTGCTCTCCGAGTGGGCTGCCCCGCAGAGCTCCCAGAGGGGGCTCCACACGCGACAAGCATTCTCATTCTGACTGACAAGAGTTTGTTTCTGTTGCCTCAGGAAGGAGGGACAGTGGTGGTTGGAGGCCTCCACCCCCACTGGTTCCTAGAGCTATCTGGTTGCTGTGGGATGTAAGGAGCTGTGTAAACATGGACACCCTGCCTGCGCTGGTCCTGGGTACTGGGAGACTGCTCTTCTCTGATGGCTAGGAGCTCACCACCACTGTGGCTCTAGCTGGGCTCACATCTCTGCCAGGTACTGAAGGAACTGGCAACAGCAGAATTTCTGAAAGGGCTGCTGCAAACCAGCCGTGAAGCAGACCACAGCCTCAGCCACCTCCCCAGCCTCATCTTCTGCCCCACGAAGGAGGCGGACTCACTCAGCCCTGGGGACTGCTAGAAGCCTGCAGGCTTCTCTCAGGCAGCTAGACGAAGTGAGTGCACCAGACACACCCAACCTTGGGCAAAAGGCATCTGGGGCAGCTGAGGGAATTCGACCAAACACTGAGCATTTCTTGGTCCGGGGCAGCAGCCCTCCCCACGACCTTTTTGACTAGCCTTTTTTCACATTTTAATGCTAAAAAAGTCTGCCTGGAGGAGGAAGGAATTGTTTCTAAGGTTCAACTCTTAGTTGTCAAAAATCATCTTTGAGGGAGTGGGGAGACTGGGCCCCACCCTGGCTTCCGTGCATGGCTTGAGTCTGCCTGGGCCCTCCTGCTTCCCCTCATCCTCCCCGGTGTGTCTCGCACAAGGAAAGACACGGGTGGGTTTCTCCCCTGCAGGACAGTGAAGGCGGCCCCTCTGGGCCTGCGCCCGTGGTCACATGCCAGCGGGAAGCGGCTCCTGTTCCCAGCCCCCGCCCTGTTGATGGGAAACAAGGAGGTGCCACAAGGACTCTGAGGAGAATAAAAATAAAACGTCCAGTTGATGTGACCCAGAGGCAGTCATCCACACGCCGTGAAAAGCTTATTTGGCTGAGAGAGCGGCTCAGCCAGGAAAGCCTGGGCGGGTTCCAGGGCTGAACCGCAGGTGCTGAAGGCGGGAGCCAGGGTCAGCTGGGAGCAGCCTGGGCAGGCAGCTGGGCACGGGGCCACTCCGGTTCCAGTCCCCTGCCTTCCCGCTCAAGCTCGCCTTCTTACCTGTACTGTTTCGACCCAGCGATGAAAATTCGTTCTGAGAAGGTGGGGCTGAACTCTTGGCTATTCTCACCTTTTAAGTAAAGGAAAAGGGGTTGGATAAGCAGAAAGGAGAGGAGAAAGATAGGAATTCAGCACGTAGGAGAGACACTTTACAGAGATCCCCTCTTGGGCCACTCCTTCCCCCCCTTCCCAGACCACCTCTGTCTGAGGATTCACCTCCCGACCAGTGCCCCCTGCCCTCACTCACTGTGTCCCCTCTCCCTCCCAGCTGAATGGTCAAGAGCAGAGGGAACACCTAAAATATGGGGAGCATATGGTGCCCACTTCGCTTCACTTGGAGTAAGTGGCACGTAAGTGAGATACCCACATCAAACCCTCAATACAGCACCTGCGCACAGGAAATATAGGCTATTGTAGACAGCTCAATAAATATAGTCTATTATATATTTATATAGGTATGTGTACATAGTGTATGTGTGTGTGTGTGTATCACCATTATTATGTCACTCACTCCACTTTAATTTTTATTCTCTTATCTCTCTTCAAAAACCAACCAGAAGGAATTGGGAGATGAGAGGAAAGATATGTCGATGTGGGAAGTGCCATGGCAAGCTGTCTGGCTCTCCAGGTTCCACCCCAACAAACCTCTGGGTTGGAGGGTGGGTGCTGGAGAGAGAGGAGGACTCCTGGCCCCACCTGGACCTCCTGGAAGCTTCTATCTGGGGACGGCCACCACCACTGAGTAGAAGCATAAAGGGCACGACCAGGCCTCACCCTGGGGTTGCCTGCTGCCCCTGGACTGGCCCAGCAAGCCCAAGAGCAGGGTGTTTGTCCTATGGGGTGGGGCATCTCTAGGTGAAAGGTGGGGAAGGGCCTCCATGCACCAGCCAGGGCTTTCCAGGACACCTGGCCTTTCCTGTCTGGGGCCTCTCCAGACGCTCAGGCTGCTCAATCTCTAGGTGAAAGGTGGGGAAGGGCCTCCATGCACCAGCCGGGGCTTTCCAGGACACCTGGCCTTTCCTGTCTGGGGCCTCTCCAGACGCTCAGGCTGCTCAAGGTCACAGGAGAAAGTTAATGGCCTGCTTAACAATCCTGCAAAGGGCTCCCAAGAAGTCTTGCCTCCCAGCTCTCTTCCCCTGCTCTGGTCACGACAGGCATAGCCTCCATTTGCCACGACTCCTATCTGTGTTCCATCCCGGCACTTGTACAGTTCCCACTTCACACTGAGTCTGGACCCCCAGTTGTGTCTCATGAGAGTCTTGTAGAGTGGTCATCCTGACCTCTCTCTGCAAAAGTGGACCCTGGGCCTGGCCTCCCCTGTGCCCAGCCACCTGCCCCTGCATGCACAACCACCCCAGGCCCTTACATTCGGCCTGGGCGATGATGGAGATGGCAGCTGGCCCTCCCTCAGAGCCTTCCTTGGCTGTGCCTTTGGTGATCACGTCGTTCAGGATCTCCCACTTCCCGCAGAACACGGGGCTCTTCTCTACCGCCTCCAGCTTGTAAACGGGGCTCTGCTTCTTCCCCATCGGTGGTGGCTTCTCCTTGGCTTTGGCGAGCTCCTTCTGCTGCCCGACTGCTGAGCCAGGGGCGCCTGGGCAGGCCATTTCCATCACTGCCATTTCCCAGGCTCACGCTCACCCTGAGAGAGACCAAACAGAAACCAAACAGAACAGGTCACTCAGGGTCCCAGACCAGGGGGCACAGGAGGCACGGGTTGGAGGAGAAAGGGAGCAAAGGGTCTCTGCCTCTTTAGGCCACACATATTTATCCTCCAAACACCCCAAATGGTAATGGAGTCAACCTCTCAACATCTCCACATGTCCCACGTGGTGTAGGCCCCCAGGCTATCAGCACCCCAACATAAATGGATTTCTCCACTGTGCCCAACAAGGAGGATTCCAGCCCATTCCCTCTGGGACACAAATGTAGCACAAATATTGGGTTGGTTCCTTCTTGCCTTTTTAAGGGCTAAATCTTTGTCTGTTGCTTGTTTTATCGCGAACTTTGCTTCCCCAGGACAGGGTGGTGAATCCCATCCTTTAAGATCACCACCACCTCACTGACCCCACACAGCCTTGCCTTCTTAGAGCACATGTCTACACAGTCCACAGGGGCTTTCTCCAAGTGGAGAGAATCAAGGTTTTGTTTTGTCCCCTGGCAGGAGGTAGATATATGCATAAACTGAGAGTATGTGTGTATATATACATATTATAAAGTCTAAAACTCAACATGCAAATGGTACTCAGCACTTGACTTCTTTCCCAAGACTCATCTGCTTGTGAGTCTCCAGAAGACACGTTTTCTCCTCTAATGTCCAAACGCACTGGCTGCAAACTTCTTGTATCATTTTTTTTTCAGGCGACATTAGTAGTAGAATTCACATCAGAGGCCCTAACACCAACCTGTACCTCTAAAAATAGGACAAAGCATGAGAATTCACCTCTCTCTGGGTCCTGCCTCACCCAGCCATGCATTGCTGAGGATGATGCAAGGGAGAGCAGCCCAGTGTTGCCGACAATTTGGGCCAACAGCACATAGACCAGATTGTCATGAAAGAGAACAGCACCGATCTGAGATGGTTACCATTTGGAAACCTTTTAAAAGACTGGGACTTTTTCATAGGGCAGGGCCCCTCTGGGGTGTGACTTGCTTTAAACAAATCCTGAAAAGTCACCAAATGCAGACAGTTTTTTCATAATTGCTCTCTGACAGTAGGTTGGTCTTAAAGGTGTTACTAACAGCTTTGGTCTTCGCTGCTGTAGCTCCATGAAGCCTGGATCACTCCTCTGTTTGTTCTCTGGGCAGAAAGGTAGACCACGTGGGGCCGGCCCGTGGCTCACTTGGGAGAGTGTGGTGCTGATAACACCAAGGCCACGGGTTCGGATCCTATATAGGGATGGCCGGTTCGCTCACTGGCTGAGCGTGGTGCTGACAACACCAAGTCAAGGGTTAGGATCTCCTTACCGGTCATCTTTAAAAAAAAAAAAAGAAAGGCAGACCACGTGAAGCCAAAGTTCCAGTACCTCTGGCCTTTTGCCCGGTCAGGCCCGAAGAGGAAAGGAGACAGTGGGAAAGCGAGGAACACTAGGCAGAAGCGTCCTCCTACTGCACTGGTCTCACTCATCTTTTCTCCACGATGGCTACGAAAGGCTGTGCCGTTCGATTGGGAAGGGGGTGGGGTTTGCTGGTCATTATTAATTTGTTCCCCACATCTCTGCCTTCAGGAGCCTCCTAACTTTGAACTCAGAGCAGCTCCAGCTTCCAGCATGAATGCCTGGATTTGGTTCTGAAGGCCAGTTGCTAAGGAGGCCAAATGGGCAACCTCACAGTCACTTGATGATCTTAAGAAGTCTTAGGGGGATTCTGACTTCTGATTAGGTGAAAGGCCTCCAAGGCAGGCTATTTTTCTTGCAATCATAGTTTCATCCCACCACATACTTCCCCAACACACTCCACCTCCGAAAAAGAACTGATAAGGCCTAGAGTAGAGGTTACCTTTCTCAGCCTCTATTCCAGCGGAAATGAAATCTAAAGGGCAAACTAAATTCTCCAAGCCTAACAGTAGTAGAGTGTGCTTACAGGGAGCTCAACGTCACTTTAACCTGCTCCTTTTTATTTGGAGAACCTCAGGCCTAGTTAAGTGGAGACTAGCCCAAGGTCTCTCAGCCCACGTGTGGCAGGGGCAGACCCAGACCCCGGGCTCTTTAGTCCATGCTGCCCACTCCCCAGCCCCTGGGTTGCAGGCAAACACAAGGAGAGAAAACTCATGGTCCTTCCTGGTCAGAAGGATCCTGAGGGCAGAGGTAAGGCACACGGTTGCACCCCCAGTGTACAGCACAGCGGGGCACAGATGAGACAACTGATGTTGGCTGAACAAGGGACTCAAAGGATGAAGAGTGCTTTCCCATGACCTTCAGAGACAGGAAGATCCTGAGCACCAAGCAGGAAGACAGAATCCCATCTGATCAATGAGAAAAACAGGGCCAAGTGCGCAGTAGGTACTCCGAGAACAGCCAGCCATTCAGATCTAGCTGTGCTCGGGCTCACATAGCCTGTCTCTGCCTGGCATGGCCCAGCCCAGTGTTCCAGACAGCTCACCCTGAGCTAGAGATCCTCCAGAAAAGCTGTGGGGCACTCCCGCAGCCCAGGAGCCATCCATTCAGCTGGGCAGCCAGCCAAGGGCCCCGATCCTCTCTCTATGAGCACACCTGGCGCCCCTCTCCCTGGAGGAGAGGTTGAGATTGAGGCTGAGGCTGAGGCTGAGGCCGAGGCCGCCAAGCTCAGAGCCTCCTTTGCAGTTCCCTGATGACTCATCTGACAATCTGGTAGGCAGACAGTAACAAGAAGGCTGTTGAGAAGCTGACCCAGCAGATGGCAGCTGAACCTGTGAAGGGCATGGAGAAAACAGGCTGACCCTCAGCTCCCAGGGGCACAAAATCACGGCCTGGGAGCTGTAAAGCTTCTCCTGCAGCTGGCTTTCCTGGGCCACATGACTATGACTCAGACTCTCACCGAACAGCCTCCAAGTCCAAGAGGCTATTCTTGGGACCCTGGTCTGACAGCAGCCCTCCTACACATACATACGTGCTTGCTCCTGCTCTCCTTCCCCACTTCTCCATGGTTCTGGTCTACAAACACCAGGGTTCTGTATGAAGCCTGGGATGCTGGCCAGGTGGCCTCCCCAGCCCTGGGCTTTGACTGCTGGCTGTTCACCCAGCTCACAGCCCTGCAGCTTGGCCCCTTCTCTCTCCTGCAGTGTGTGGGGACTGAGGACCAAGTGGGAGTCAGTTAGGTCTCTGCCTCTAACAGCAAGTCAAAATCCTGATCCAAGACTTGGCCTGCACACTCTCCCAGCTCCATGCAGGCCTCCAATACTGTTGGATGAGTCATCAGGGTACTGCAAAGGAGGCTCTGAGCTCAGCAGCCTGAGCCTCAACCTCTCCTCCAAGGAGAGGGGAGCCCAGCATGCTCAGGGAGGAGGATCAGGGCCTTCGTCCAGCTGCTCTCTGCATCAGAGCTGAGGACGTGAGCAGCGCCACAGTCAAATCCACTGGCTCACCCACAAACCATGAAAACAAAAGAGGAAAGGAAAGGAATAGAACTCATCCTTTCAGGCCTGATGATAAACACGCCTGCTCTCTCTTCCGTGGGGCCTCAATGGTCCTCTGGAGAAGTCTCGGGGTAAGAAATACTGGGATGGTACCAGATCAACTCCTGGGCATAGCTGTATGAGTTCTTTATCTGGCCCAAGGATGGCTTCAGGGAGGTCTGTGAGCCCCAGAAAATATATGCAATTTGTATTTTCCTAGGGAAGAGGTCCATAGCTTCGCCACATACTCCAAGGATCTGCCACTCCCCAGCAGGTTGCTCTTAGTCCTCCCAGAAGATTGGTGCTAGGGCTAAATGCCTGGTTCTCGTTCTTTTCTTCCATTCCAAAGTAGAGCTCTCTAATGCAGTGGTTTCCAACCTGACTGCAATTAGCACATCCAGATGAATTCTTAAAACCTACTGAATCAGAGTCACCGGGTGTTAGGCCCAGAATCTGTACTTTGACAAGTTCTCTGGGTGATTCTGATGCTAAGGGACTGGAGACTACCATTTGACCCCTGCTCTATAGTCTATGGCTACAAAGTCTAAAATGGTAGCCACTTGCACCATACGGCTATTTACATGTAATTAAATAAAATTTAAAGATCAGTTTCTCTGCCACACTGGCTACCATATTAAACAGTGCAGATAGAGAACATTTCCATCACTACAGAAAGTTCTATTGGACAATGAGGGCCCAACACTATCACAGCAATGTTTTCTATAACAGCAAAATTTCTGTTCCTAGGATTCTGGGACAGAAATGACATTTAGGCTAAATGAATTTTTGATTCACTGAAAGGTACAAAAGTAATGTTTTAAATGTTGGTCTTCAAAGATGGAACCTTTCAGGCCGGCCCGGTGGCGCACTGCTACAGTGTGCCGCTTGGGAGTGTGGTGGCGCTCCCGCCGAGGGTTCGGATCCCACATACAGACCGGTTCCCGCTCACTGGCTGAGTGAGGTGCGGGTGCGACACGGAGGGTTGCGATCCCGTTGCTGGTCCCGGTCCGGTACGGGCGCAACACTGAGGGTTGCGATCCGTTGCCGGACACGAAAAAAGACAAAAAAAAAGATGGAACCTTTCTAAAATGTATCATTATTTCAGTTCCCTGTTTTAGTAAGTACAGTACAGTGAGAACACCAGACCAGGAACCAGAAGTTATGGGTTATAGCTTGGCAACTTTTTTTTAAAAAAAGCAGCAGGACCATTTCTGTCAAATGAAATCATACCTCAAACCCTGATATATAAAAGAGCTAGAAGCATGCAACTGGCATGTAACCCACACGAGAACCAGCTGCTCTGACTCAAGGAGGTGGGTGAGAGTTCCTTACGCTCAGCTTCCCTCCACTTACCAAGGACCCCTGTAGAATCCTAGGTCTCCAAGAGTTTGGAAACCAGTGGCCTAGGAAAATTTTGAGGTTCCTTCTAGTTCCCAGAATGTAACTGACTTGTCAGGACTGTTTGAGGGCTGGATGACTCCAATTCTAAACAATAATTGTCAATATTTATTGAACACCTACCACTATTAATCTCATTTTCAGATGTGAAG